TCTCTGGTGAAGATTTTCTCCCATTCTGTGGGTTTTCTGTTTGTTTCCTTGGTTGTCTCCTTTGATGTACAGAAGCTTTTTAGTTTAATGAGGTCCCACTTGTTAATTCTTGCCCTTGTTTCCTGGGCTATTGGTGTCCGGTTTAGAAAGTCCTTTCCTACACCTATATCTTGTAAGTTTTTCCCAACGTTTTCTTCTAAGAGTTTCAGAGTTTCAGAGGGATAAGTCATTCTTAATGGATTCCATCAGGGATGGTCACACCATCCATTAACATGGGAGGTTGCAGTAATGTAAAATCTCCTTGGTCTATTGGGAAACAAGATGGCAGGCAAATGGTCACACCTAGAAGACTGAGGAAGTCATGCATATGGCAGGCAGTCTCATAAGGCACATTGAGATTCCATGGCTGTACAGAAAATGTTTATTCAAGTGTCTATTGTAGATGGCACTGTGCCCTGTACTTAAGAAAATGTAGAAGAAAAATTAAGCCACAAAGGTATCTTAATTAGGAACAGTAACACCTTAAACTTCACACTGACTTCTTTCCCACACTCTACAAATTGTCCCATCCTTTACAAAAAGAAAGAAGAAAAAGAGAAAATAATATGAATATTCTCTTGCCTAGTTACCTCCTGTAACTGTTCTCGATCTCCTTGTCTCAAAATTTCCTTTTTTAAAAAAACCTGTGTATAGCGGCTGGAGAGATGGCTCAGCAGTTAAGAACATGGGTTGTTCTTGCAGAAGACCCGGGTTCAAATCCCAGCAACCATATGACAGCTAACAACTGCCTGTAACTCCAGTCCCAGGGGATCCAACAGCCTCTCTGACCTCCACAGGCATTGCACGACATGGGTGCACTTACCTACATGCAGGCAATACACACATATACACATAAAAATAATAAATAAAATTTTTTAAAAACATTTAAAAAAATCTGTGTACATGAGATGTGCGTATGTGTTCCCATGTATGTGCAAGCATGCATCTACCACACATGAGTGTGAAGATCAGTGTATAGCCTCCGTGTCAGTCCTTGCCTTCCACCTGTTTGAGGCAAGGCCTCTTTGCCACTGTGTATATCATGTTAGCTGGCCATGAGCTGCTAGGAGATTCTCCACCTCCATCTTACCATGCAGCACTAGGATTACAGATGTGCACACTATTGCATCCAGCTTAATATAGGCTCCGAGGATTCAAATTCAGGACCTCCCACTTGCACAAGAAATGCTTTACCACCTGAGCCAAGTACAGAGATATAGCAATCTGCCTTCCATCCATACCACTGCCCTCAACAAACTCGCCCAAGCCCATGCTGTACAAATCTGATAAACACTGTTAAGCACTTTCCTCACAGGACCAAGACTGACTTCAATCAGGCTATGTAATTCCAGAGCAGTGCAGCCTCACTCTGTCCCCAAGTGATCCAGGGGTGTTCCTTTAGAAGCCACAATTTAGCTAAGTGTTAATCAGAGGCTCTCAATGGAGGAGCAATTTTAAAACAATGTCAATCTATTGCTTACCTTCCACTGGGTTCCAATCTGGGTCCATTCATAGAAAACTACAGAAATGATACTGTGTAGCTTCCAAGGCTAAATGCTAGGAAGCTGTAGTGTATCTCTGTATCTGGCTCTTGTAGGATAGTCTCTCTCAGAATTCAACTACCATGTCAGCACATAGAAAGAGACTCATTTGGTCCTCTGGCCATCAGTCCCTCCCGAGCTTCTGGTCTGAAGATGGTGCGGTCCAGAAAGCCACATGAGTGGCCATCTTTGAGACGGAGTCTCCAGCACTCCACTGAACTGTCTGACTGACCCAGCATGGAACCCAGACCTTCCAGGCCAAGCTGAGCCCCACTCCCGTTTCGGCCTCCATGCATGACTTGTGTTGTGCGGTTGTTTGAGGGAGGTTGGCTGTGAAGCAAAGGATAATGGCTGAAGACAGCTAGATAAGAGTGGAGTCTACTTAAGAATTCTGGGAAATAGATGGCAAGCGTTTTCTACGTACTAAACTGTTCAATGAGATGAGTGTGAGGCCATTGATTTAGATTGACTTCTTGCAGCTGGCCCCAACAGACCAAACCAAAACACATTCCCTTAAGCTCATGTTCCGTGTCACCAAACCAAAACTAACTTGTTTTTCTGACCTTTCCAGAAAAGACAGATAAATCCCCAAACAGTTCAGTTTTAGCCAATCTCTCTGCTTTAACCCTTAAAG